CAGCTCAATTAACCAAATAAAATTAATGGTAGCTCCTTCTACGACTATGACACTGGTATGTGTATTAAATATAGAATAAAATACCCACATTGTATAGAGCTTTGTTTACAGTAGCACTTGAGCTACGTAGCCAAGATGGTAGCCGTTGAGTTTGAGAAGTGTCGACTTTTGGACCGTTATGAGAGCAACATTTTTCTACTCAGTACATTTTCCATACTTCACATTGGGACGCACTTATGGACTCAAAATAGCACATGTAGGTTCAGAAGTACGCAAAATAAAGTTACCTCTTTAAAGTTTGTGCTTAGTCATGTATATACTCCCTCTGTCTCACCTCACTTACTCTCCCTGGCTAGTGTTTAAGTCGAAGAAGACATTTCACCACCTGCCAAAATCCTCAGCTTCCTGCCTGACACACCCAAAGTGTCCCAAAGAGACATTTGACAGAGAGGCTGGTAATTAAGAGAAGCTCTCTGACAGATGTATTACTGGCAGTCACACTGACACGCCAATATTCAGAGGAATTGGCAGATGGAGGATGGTGCCGAGCAAACAAGATATCAGCAGTTCAGTCTGGAGGGAAGTGCTTTTCAACTAAAAACTGTGTCATTCAAGGATGGATTTAATGATGGAGGGGCCAAGATAATCGATTAGTGGTTTGGTGAAGGGGTCCAGATAGTGGTGGGCTTTAATAAATCAGGAGCTAAGTGTTCATTAGTGTTACAATACAACATCGTTTAGGATGGTTTGGCCACAGATTTAATCTTTTTGCCTGAATTTAGGAAAAGGGTTTTTGAAATACATGACCAAAAGTTGACTTTACTGAATCTTTGTTTTGTGTTTGGGCCCTTTGTCTGTGTGGCAAAGACTAACAAGGATTTGGATTACAAGTGTTATAAAGTATGTTTAATACACAGTACAAATAGACACATGCACAGGACTAAATATTAGGTCTAAATACACACATTTACAATCGGACCAGGCACTACTGCCATACCCAATACGAATCATATGGTATTGAATCGTTTTGTATAGTAACGTATTATGCCATAATGTACATGCTGTGTCACTGCCACCATCAGTATGAAACATATCATATCGTATCGTATCGTACAAATTGGATGATATATTGATTTCAAACCATGTCAGTGGGCTGCAGCATACATTATATGAGAATCAGTTGATTGTTACCAATAATGATCCACATTATAATCTGGACATGCAGAAGAGGCTAACATGCCAACACAGTCTCACGGCATTTCGTGTTATAGTCACAAAATGTATCTATTGATTCGTGTTCATCAACACGATTTCGCCATTTTTTTCGTGTCACACAGAACGATTTTAAAAGCAATGTAAATAATAACAAATTAGAAGGAAAAACAGATTTCAGTATTCTGACACAGAACGATTTTAGAAGCAATGTATTTCTATTGGTAGTATGTTTCGTGCCTGCACCAAATAATAACAAATTAGAAGGAAAAAAATATGACATAAAATACAGATTTCAGTATTCTGAGGCTCTGAGCCATTTCTTTTCCTCACTGACGGCAAAAAAACTCAGACATTATACAATTTAAAATAAAAGGGATAGGGTTAGGCTTAGGGTAAGATATTGAGTAAGAACATGTTTTTATGAACCACACAGCTTCTGGTCTTCCAACCCGACTGGACAAAAAGACGTGTTGCAGGCACGAAACACACTACCAATAGAAATACATTGCTTTTAAAATCGTTCTGTGTGACACGAAAAAAAGGGGAAAATCGTGTTGGTGAACACGAATCAATAGATTACATTAATTTCGTGACTAATAACACGAAATGCCGTGAGACTGGGTTGAACATGCTCACGAAACATTGGAAAAGTAATCTCTCTGTCCTCTACTCATCCCTCATTGTTAACTGTATTATGCTCCTCCTCACTTGTCGCTCCTGCCAGTGTATTACAAATAATTCAGTAATTTAGTTCATTTCACTTTGCAGATAGATAGATGGGGTTATTAAGTTTGTGTTGAACAGCACATGAACAGAATGTAAATGCAACCCTGGGCTCAGAAGGCTGTCCCTGCAGTTCCTCTCTGACTTCCATCACTTTCTCTCTTTCTCTCGGCCTGTCCTGTATCTCCCTTACCAAAGCTGAGCTTGGACTGATAATCTTTTCATTATATCTGTGTCAGTAAAAAAATAAAACAATACAATGTTATCTCCTCAACCTTTTACGCAAATTATAATGAAAGAAAAGCATTGAAACTTTCGTTAAAAGGTCTGACATTGGATGAATGAAATTAAAGTTAGCTGTCTAGCTATTTTATTCACGCAATTTAAACCAAAGTATAGCCTATAGCTCAAATATGAATTATTGTGCATGTTGTCGTACGTCCACTGACTAACGTAGAGCGTTCACACAGGATCTGCTGGTCATATGATGTCCTGATGAACAGAAACACAAGCAGCCCGCTGGACTCAGATCTCTAGGTATCTCAATCACTCCTCCGCTGTTTTATTCCTACAGAATGCATGGTGAAAGGATAAGATGTGTTTTGTCAGTATAGTACAATTTTATAAAACATTCTCTGTTGTTTAAGTGTCTGATACTTGATAACCACGAATACAAAATACGTAAAAAATGACAAACCACATATATGATATAGTCAGACACTGTGTTATTTCAAATCAAGCCTAACGAATAATTAGTTCAAAACTGGCTTTACTCACTTCAATTGCTCCTCAGAATGTAATGTTCCTCTGTGGTTTTCTATGCAACACATGTTTGTATTGTAATGCCACTCGTATGTTATATATTTGTGTATTGTAAGGTGACATTGACTGTTTTGAAAGGAGCCCTCAAATAAAATGTATTATTGTTATTGTATCTCCGCCTCTCTCACACTGTTCTTTTTTCTTTTCGACAAGGTTAATCCTGGTGTCAATAGCTTTGTCCAGGGTGGTCGTATTCCCACCAAAATCACACTGGTGTTTGCTGTCCCCCTCTAGTAAAATAACTTAATGTAAAGTATTTATTTCACCTTCCCTTATTATACATCCATGGGTACAAGTCCGGACCGCGGCTGTGTGTTGATACATTGATGTTGTCTTCTTCTGTTTGCTTTAATGTAGGCTACTTAGTTGTGCATTGCCCCCACCGCCAGTAAATGGAAGTACTACAAAGAACCCTGTTAATTATGTGCAGTTATTTCACAAGTTTTATTATATACACCTCGAAAAAATTACCGAGGTCCGGACCTCTGTGACCTCAATGGTGGGTACGGCCATGGAAATGTACCGTATTTTATAGTAACGTATCATACTGTACCGTATTGTATAGTAACGTATCATACTGTACCGTATTGTATAGTAACGTATCATACTGTACCGTATGTTATAGTAACGTATCATACTGTACCGTATTGTATAGTAACATATCATACTGTACCGTATTGTATAGTAACGTATAGTACCGTAACACACCAGACTGCATTACTGCCGCCCCCAATACGCATCATATCGTTTCGTATTGTCTCGTATTGTATCGTAGCGTTTCATATTGGAGATTTGCACAAACATGGGTAAGAAAGAAAGATTGAACAGCATCAGGGGAAATTATAGTATGAAGCAATCCAAGAGGGAGTAGCATCTACATTTTAAACCGACTGGAAAAAAGAGAATCACATATTGCAAACCCATCGCTGCACAAAGCTGTGAAAAATGAACCATGATGTTTATAGCATGACCATCTCTGCAGTGCATACTTCCCAATGGTTCTTTCGAACAAAACTCACAGATTTTTGGACAGAAAAACTCTACGACGCTGCTCTCACAGTGAGCCACAGCTAACAGATGTACGTCTCACGTCAGAAATGGTCTTGCTCTTTGTGAGGACTGATTGATGGGAGTCATGAGGACATGCAGCTGCATTACACATGTTGATTACACAGAGGGGAGGGGGGAGACTTTGCTGCACATCACCACAGTTGCCAGCAGTAACCAGTTCAATTAAATAACTCTTTGTGATTCTACCAGACAGACTCACAGCATATTAACGGTAAATACTAGACCACTTGCACAGCTGACATCCTTAATTGCTGTATTTCACCGAGCAGAAATAAAGTAAGCACTCTAAATAAGTATGTGTAGTAAAGGGATTTAGTTAGGGCACCAGAGCAGTTTTTAGCAGACCTTTTAGTGTTACTACTCGTGCCTGCTTGGTAATTATTGGAAGCGAGGCGGATATTTACTAAGCTTCTACCCGGGCAGCTGTGTCTCTGTATAAAGTTATATTAAAATCACAGAGCAACACTGTGTGGGTATATCATTATTATTGGACCTATAAAAGGACTGGTCTTAGATAGATGTGTTTTCAATTGCTGTTTCAGTTGTGACATTTGTCTTTTAGGCCAGTCGGACATTAATTGTTCATTTTGAGTGTTGTATGTCTTTTCAAAATGGACCTAAAGTCTCTTCAATAAAGCTGATGATGATGATGATGATGATTAAGACCACTTGGTAACAGTAGAGCTGTTGTACAGTAAACAAAAGTCACTGGGCATTGAATAACACGGTTCACGTTAAATTATACTTTCAGCAAGTTATTTATTTGCAGACGAAACAGAGAATGAAAGATACAACTAATCAAATTCTGCTGCTGTGGGACAAAAAAAAATATACCTCCATATTTCAAAGAAAGGATTACTGTTTTGGGGAGGGGTTTGGCAAACAGTGAAATATTATACATTAACATATTCCCATGGTGGTAGGAAACTTTCAACAGAATCACTGTAACTGATCACCTTAACATACATGTACAGTAGGAGGCATGTTGCTATTCTGTTGTAAGTGTAATTTGCTTTGTGGCAGGTGTGTGTGTGTGTGTGTGTGTGTGTGTGTGTGTGTGTGTGTGTGTGTGTGTGTGTGTGTGTCTGTGTGTGTATGTGTGTGTGTGTGGTGTGTGTGTGTGTGTGTGTGTGTGTGTGTGTGTGTGTGTGTGAATAGAGGAGACTCACTTGTACTGGGCCTGGAAATGTTCCTTGACGAAGCTGTGCTGGAGTCTGGACTCAGACAGAACTTCCTCAGCTCCACAGAGACCCTGCAGAGGAAAGAGACCCGTCAACACAAGTAGACTCACAGAATATTTTATTTATTACAGGAGGGAGGGGTTTGGGTTTGTGACAGTTTCTCCATTTACCTGAAAAAAAATCCAGAAATATGAGGAGACAATCACATTTCTAAGAAAAAAGCCAGAATTCTGAAAAAAGTCAAAACTCTAAGAAATCCATAATTCTGAAAAAAAAGGCATTACAAAAAAATTCAGAAAAAAGTGAAATATCTGACAAATCTCATTTCTGAGAAAAAGTCAAAATTCTGAAGAAAAAATAAATAAAATGTCTTAGAAAAAAATTTCTGAAAAGCAGACTAAGGCGGATTTGGGATGAGACTCAGACTGTATAAAGTTGTGGTGCAGCAAGAAACCCAACAGATCGCACAAAGGCTGAGTGCAGTGCAGCTTTAGCACTTTTCCTCAGTAATGAAGTGATAATCAAAAGTGAAAGCACCAAAAACATAAACCCTGAGGACGCCATCTTTCACTTTCATCTACTGAGCTACAACAGGGAGGAATCTGGCCTTGGACAAAGATAAAAGAAATATAAAATCAAAACAGAACCGATCACTGAAAGACAAGGTCACAAAGCAAATTAGTGGGACAACACACACACACACACACACACACACACACACACACACACACACACATACACACACACACACACACACACACACACACACACACACACACACACACCGCTGTGTTAATGACACAGAACCAACTGATCAACCGTCTGCATCAGTTCAATACAGTCCTATAGTTAGGGACCTTCATGATGTTATTTTACATGTTATAATACGTGTTAGCTTGGTAATAAATGTTGTGAGGCGGCTAACGTTGGGCTATAAAATAACTAGAGCACGGTCACATGACTTCACGTCACCACCGCTAAGCTAAAGGAGGCTAACGTTGGGCTATAAAAGAACTACAGCACGGTCACATGACTTCACGTCACCACCGCTAAGCTAAAGGTGGCTCTATCTATAGGCCTATAGATAGTACACCTTAGAGCCTGCAAAGCATAAGGTGAATAAGAAGTGAATAAGTGTTGTTCCCAAAATGCCCGACTATATAATTCATTTTTAAAAGACTTGTGAGTGGAAGAGTGCTAACAGTTATATTTAGCAGGCACACTTTATCAGTTCATCTCTGTACAGTACCCACTCCATTTCACACCTTATCAGCCGTGGAAAACGACCTGAAAAACATTCTTTCGGTCGCCAAGTGGTTCTGCTTAAAAGGCCATAATGTGGCACCTTGTTAGCATTTCTCTGCTCTCACGCTATCAAACCCCACAATAGCTCGGTGTACAAGTCAGACACTTGAGAATGCATTAAGTCGTCATATCATTTCAGCTGTGCTTTCACACTTGGAAAAGCACTTTCCGATTCTTCTCTGTGACACATGCTTTCTCTCCCTCATGACTTCCTGCTCCTGGTCCCATACTGGCTGCCAGTCAGAGCGTGACCTCCGCTAACAAACAGAGCAGAGAAGAGGTTTAGAGTTTCTAAAAGGAGAGTGGGTTCATCTGAGAAATCAGCATGAGACAGAGACGGAGAGGAGGGTCGTTTTCAGTTCACCAACATTTCTAATCCCGAGTCTATTCTTCTGAGAGCATTTGAGCTTTGCAAAGATGGAGCGCGAGACTGCATCCTGACCGTCCTGCTGCAGTGTGCTTCAACAGACACGAACAATCACTCATCTCCCTGTCTTAGTCTTTCCTCTGCACATGGATTTCAGCGTTTTCTTATGCTTGGTCCAAAAGAGTGTTGCAGGAATGAATCATAAAACTGGGAAATAAGTTAGCCTTTTGGAACTAAGTTTGCCCATCTTGAAGTCAATGTTTTTTTGATGTGTTCTTGGATAGATACCAGAGTAAATGCCCCACTGGTGAATTTAAAAACAGCGGTTGCTAACAAGTGTCTAAATGAGACGACTAAACGTCGAACATTAGCCGCCTTTAGCTTAGCGGTGGTGACGTGAAGTCATGTGACCGTGCTGTAGTTCCTTTATAGCCCAACATTAGCCACCTTTAGCTTAGCAGTGGTGACGTGAAGTCATGTGACTGTGCTGTAGTTCCTTTTTAGCCCAACATTAGCCGCCTTTAGCTTAGCGGTGGTGACGTGAAGTCATGTGACCGTGCTGTAGTTCCTTTATAGCCCAACATTAGCCTCCTTTAGCTTAGCAGTGGTGACGTGAAGTCATGTGACCGTGCTGTAGCTCCTTTATAGCCCAACATTAGCCTCCTTTAGCTTAGCAGTGGTGACGTGAAGTCATGTGACCGTGCTGTAGTTCCTTTATAGCCCAACATTAGCCTCCTTTAGCTTAGCGGTGGTGATGTGAAGTCATGTGAAAGTGCTGTAGCTCCTTTATAGCCCAACATTAGCCTCCTTTAGCTTAGCAGTGGTGATGTGAAGTCATGTGACCGTGCTGTAGCTCCTTTATAGCCCAACATTAGCTAAAATGTGTACGTTTCATGAGCATTTGTCCGCCACAGAGATTATTTTCTGCAATAATCCAATAGAAAATTCATCCCATTGGCTTTTAATTGTCAATGCTAACTTCAGGGTTGGCCTACAAAAAGGCATCATCCTTCACCATTGTATTCCCCAACAAAAACCCAGCTGACGTTGTTCAGGTAAACCATGCAAAGTGTAGTGCTTCTGTTTTAATAAATGCACTGACATCATGCTCTGGATTCCTCTCCTTTTTTCCGTCCACATACTTGGTAATGGATTCCTTTGCTATCTTCACGCAGAGATAACAAAGCCACTGAGTGCAGACACGCTGTCGGTCTTATCACCTTTCAGAAATCCGTGTGAAAAAACTGCAAGGTGTCAGCTATGTGTTGACAGTAGCTGTTGAGGAAGTGGACATTTAAGCTCAGTGAGAAAGTGGGAAATGCACACAGACATCTGATAAAGCCTCCGTCATCACTTTGATCATGACCAGATAGCGACAAATCCCACGGAGTGAGGTGTGAAGAAACGGGTTTAACAGTTTGTAAAGTGACCCCAGAAAAAACATGTGACTCCAGTCCATGTCCGTTTGAAATTGAGATGCTATCTTTGAAATTGGTTGTCAGAAAAATATGGCAACTTCAAACTGATAGAAGAAAAAAGCAACTAAACAGGAAGGTAACAGATATGAGAAGCTATTAATAGATGCAGGTCTGACTGGTAGACACCACAAAGGACGAGGAGAAGATGGGAAAAGCAAAAAGGTGTATAATTATTCCTCTTTTGTGTATACTGTATACTGGACAGGAGTCATTTTCTGTGGTCTACAATGCAAACTCAAATAAATTAGTTTGGCCATCAATATATACCTGGTTATTAAATAATTATATTATTCAGTAATCACGATGAAATTGAAACCCTGCAAATTTCATAATCTTCACATATTTTGAGCCAGTTTGGAAATTAGGTTTGTGGACAGTTGCAGTTAAAGCCTAAGTATTGTATTTCGTGAAAGTTGCTCCATCTATAAATAAAAGTAAAATTAGATCGAAAATATTTATATAAACCCCAAAAAGTTCTGAAAATAGTTTAAAATGTCCATAAAAAAAAAAAAATACAAATATTCATAAAAACTAAATAAAATAGCCATATTTATATAATTGTAAAGTAATTCATGTTAAAATGACTTCCTAAATATAAGAATGAATTTGTTCCCAGATAATATCAAAGTACAATATCGTCTAAACACTTAAAAAAAAATGCTTGTGTCATGAAATCTCTCTTGAGCTTTTCCCACAGAAAGTCAATATCATAAAAAAATTGGCAGCATTTCATTTTCTCATTATCCATCTGAGCAGCGAGGAACAAACACAGACGAGCAGCTCAGCACCGACTCTCCGTTAAACCGCCTCTGTTGACTCCTGGTCATCTGCACCTCAGAATAAAAGCCTACACACACACACACACACACACACACACACACACACACACACACACACACACACACACACACACACACACACACACACACACCACACACACACACACACACACACACACACACACACCACACACACACACACACACACACACACACACACACACACACACACACACACACACACAGATTAACGGCGCACTCTGTCCCACCCTTTCAATTATTCACCCCGAAAAATGTTGCTGCGAGGGATTCATCTCCGTGAGAGGAGACACTGTAAAGGAACTCGGGCACTTCACTGTGGCTAAAATCCAGGAAATGTAGCCCCCTGTCTTCACAGACCACCCCACGGCGGGGGGGGGGGGGGGGACGTGTTGTCCCAGTAATGGCCCTGATGTGAATTATTTAAACAAGCCGTGGAAACACACAGGGATGGACATGAGCTGAAGAAAGCACTATAGTGAAGTGATTGGGACGCAACAGCAGCTAAATCCTGCTGTGATCGTAACAGAGAGAGAGAGACGGGGGCAGGAGTACACTCTGAGTATCAATATATATAGATGGATGGGGATAGATCAAAATAGTGTTATTGATTAAAGAGGACATATTCGGCTGATGTTCAGGTGTATATCAGTATGTAGTGTCTCTACTTTAAAGAGTCCTCGCCTGCTGATGTTCAGGTGTATATCGGTATGTAGTGTCTCTACTTTAAAGAGTCCTCGCCTGCTGATGTTCAGGTGTATATCGGTATGTAGTGTCTCTACTTTAAAGAGTCCTCTCCTGCTGATGTTCAGGTGTATATCAGTATGTAGTGTCTCTACTTTAAAGAGTCCTCTCCTGCTGATGTTCAGGTGTATATCAGTATGTAGTGTCTCTACTTTAAAGAGTCCTCTCCTGCTGATGTTCAGGTGTATATCAGTATGTAGTGTCTCTACTTTAAAGAGTCCTCTCCTGCTGATGTTCAGGTGTATATCAGTATGTAGTGTCTCTACTTTAAAGAGTCCTCTCCTGCTGATGTTCAGGTGTATATCAGTATATAGTGTCTCTACTTTAAAGAGTCCTCTCCTGCTGATGTGCAGGTGTATATCAGTATGTAGTGTCTCTACTTTAAAGAGTCCTCTCCTGCTGATGTTCAGGTGTATATCAGTATGTAGTGTCTCTACTTTAAAGAGTCCTCTCCTGCTGATGTTCAGGTGTATATCAGTATGTAGTGTCTCTACTGGAACATGTCTCCATGCTTTAATGTTCAAAAAGCTCTTTATTTCTCTCATACTGCCTGTGCTGCAGCACCTCTTTTCACCCTATGTCTGAAACCAGAGCCCAGTCTGCTCTGATTGGTTAGCTGGCCGGCTCTGTTGTGATTGGTCAACCGCTTAGAGATGTCCCGCCCCTTAGCCTATCACGTACAATGTGTTGGAGTGCTAGCCAATAGGAGTGTGAATGTTACATAGTAATGTCACAGGAAGTAAAGAAAGGACAAACTACGGGGAAGGGAAAGCCCATAAAAGCATGATGGGGCCTCTTTAAGTAAAAGAAGCAACACTGAACTTAAAATAAATACTTAAAAGTCTTGCATTCAAAATCTTAATTAAGTAAAAGTTATTTGACATTACTAAACAGAGAGGAGAAAGTCGGAAGCTGCTTTGTTTGACGGTGAAATCGTCACACAGAAAGCAGAACATGAAATACTCAGTTAAAGTACTTCAAAATTGTACTTAAGTATAGTAATCGAATAAATGTACTACATTCTCTACATTCCTTTACACACTCTGCATGTGTGTGAGAGTATCAATATAGTCAGATGGGGGTAGAGAGAGTGAAAAGAGAGTGTTATTGAGTGAGTCGGAGTAGTACACACTGCTGACAAACAGATAAATAATGGACCTCCTCCTCTATAAATAGTCCTGATGATACTGGAGCTTTCTCTCTGACCTTTCAGCGCATTATTCCCCTTGGGTGATCCCTCTGTTTTGGGTGCATTTGTGTGAATCTGCAATGCGCCTAGACATTGTTGCATGGACTCAAAGTGACCTCAGAGTTGTAACTGACTGACTGCTGCATGTACAAACCATTTATAGTCTGCTGGTTCAGACTGCTTTAGTTTGAACTGACAGGATGAAGAGTAGACCGGGCTTGAAGCATGTCAGTAAACCTGTCGTTACTTTAGCAGCAACATCACTGGTGTTTTATATATGTGACCTGCTCCCTAAAAATAAATTACATTGAACCTGAAACACATGTTTGGCTCGACTAGAAAAGAGGAAATAGGCCT